AAAAAAAAAAAAAAAAAAAAAAAAGAAAACACAACCCCCCCCCCCCCCCCCGGTTTAAAAAGGCTTCCCCTCTGGGGGGGGGGTGGGGGTTTTTGTATTGCCTTTTTTTTTTTTTAAGAAACAAAGACAATTTACATAAGTGAAAAGATGTTCCTAAAAATCTGTTATCTAGTAATAAATGGTTCTGGACTGAATGAGAGGAGACGAGTGTATTATGTAGAGTTGGTAAGACTCACAGTCCTTCCTGGGTCCCAGATGGCTGTGGCGCGCCGTGTATAGAGAAACAGCAGCTGTAACCAGAGAAGAAAAGCTCATTCAGCAAAAATACATGAAGGTTTTCAGGTATATCCTGCATTCACTTGCATTCTGAAATTATTTAAACTTAACCTAATTGCTAAAAATGCCACATATTCCATGGCATCTTTCATTTAAAGATTGAACAAAAATTAAAACAAAAAAACAAAGCTCGTTACATCATGACAAAGGTAAAGAGATCAAAGGTCACTTTGTAAAAATGCAGCTCAACCAGCTGATTTGGCTGCACGTACTGCTATTGAAGCCCAACACTGCAAACAGAGAAATTCCAGATCTTACCATTTAGTGTTTCCTCCTCTGGAGGCCTCCTGAGGAAAAGAGAAAAACAACAATGAGAAGACGCTAAATGAGTCCTAATTTATTCTGAGACCACTCTCACTTTATGATAAAAACATTAATAATTCATATTGGAAGAAATGCTGATGTCTGCTTACATAATGAGCAGTTAAAAGTAGTGGTGAGTATTGGCATGGGTGTTACGATTCGATATGTGTCACGATACTTGCGTCATGATACGATAATCAAGATATCGCAATATCACTTCATATCACAATATTTTTACCAGCTATCAAAATTAAATGTTTAGATAAAAAAATCAAGTGTTGTATATGTTCATCAGATGATATAGATTTAGTTATTTTGGTATCCATGTTTGGAGTTTGAGCCCGTGTTTTCCACTGTTACTCCTCAACTACAGATATGGGGCTGCGACGTTTAGCAAAAGGGCTCCACAGCGCCCTCTGCCAGAGTGACAGAAGAGGTTGTCCATTTTCACTCATTGTTTTAGGTAAAAATGACTGTTTTTGTAAAAAAAAAAAATAAATAAAAAAATCTATACTGGTAACTGAAAGATCGATATATCACTGAAAACCATAATATATCGCCAAAACAATTTTTCCCACACCCCTAGTAAAAAGTAGGGTTGCCATGACAATAAAACAATGTTTTACTTTATTGCTTTAATGCTGTGTGGCTAGCTGACTTAAGCTTTCAGCAGATTATGAATTTACTCTGTTAACTGGTACCACAGTAGAACGGAGCAGTGGTTTGCTGTTAAACTTGGCTGCAAATCTCGACAAACAGAAAATGAGTCTGAAGCTAATCCTAGAGATAAGGTTAGCTAATGTCGTATGGGAGGAGTTACTGCTTCACTGCTGCAGATTCAGCTTTACTGACCTTATTAAGTTGTTACTAAATCTTTATCAGTGCAGACAGAGCGTCTGCATTGTGTAGCAAGAGTATGGCGTCAGGGTTATGACAAAAGTGAAGCTCAGCATCTTGGCCTGTCTAGCAGCCTAGTCAGTTCATATAAATTCAGACTAATCTTTGCATCAAAATATTGATTATTTTGACAACCCTGGTGGAAGGAAACTTACAGAGAGCTGGCTTGGGCTGATTTCACCTGAACTCTCTCCTACAAGAGAATCAACATGTCAATAAAAGAGACAAGTATACAGGTGAAACTTTACACAAAATGATCCAAGAAGCTCCTACCAATACTGCAGCTCTGGGGATGTCCTCAGCTGAAACTCTACTCCTGTCCTTCTTTGTCAGAGCTACACAAACAACAAATCCTTCTGGATCACCATCACTGACAGACTAATAAAACCTACTAGGGAAAAAAATCATTGAGGAGCTATAATTAGATTCCATTTTTTTACTTACTGGGGTCTGGATGAAGAAAAGCTGGAGTTCTGTCAAACTCTGTGAATCCAGCATACGAGTTAACCACCCTGAGGAGACCGTGACCTTCAACCTGTGGTCGTAAAAGAGAAGAATGAGATCCAAGCTACAAAAGAACTACTGATAAAACAGCTTTTTCCCCCCACACTTTATTGAAAGATTGTTGTTGAAAAAAATTCCAAAAGTTTTGAAAATGATCACGAAGGTTTCTCCTTAACACTTTAGAGAGATTATTCAGTCGAGTTTCTATCTAAGACATAATGCGTTTATATATGGTGCTGTATAAATTAACTGAAGTTGCCCATTGTGAGACCGATCATCTTCATTCTCTCCTGCCTAATTTAACCTCTGAACTCTCTCATGCATTTTGTTTTTCCTAAATTTTTTTTGCTGTTGAAACAAACACTAACCTTAACTAAAGAAACCTGCAGCGCTTTAGATGTTGACTTTGTTTCACCTCTCCTTGAATTTCCTTAGTGTGACATGATGCGTTGCTTTTTGAGATCGGCCTCCCAGTGTTCCAGGTTGTATTATTTTTCCTCATTGCACCAGGTTAGTTTGGATAGCTTTTCCCTCTTAGCAAATGAAATCATTCTGAAACTCAATAATGTATCTGTCTAGCGTTTATTCTTTGATGATTTAAACATGGAAAGCCAAAAAAAAAAAAAGTTAAAACAATGGCACAATAACATTAATTCCATACTACACAAAGCAGAAGCTCTGTCTGCACTGATGAAGATTTAG